AATAATAATAATAATAATAATAATAATAATAATAATAATAATAATAACAACAACAACAATAATGTATTAATCTTATATGCTGCCCAACCGTCAGTAACTCTAGACAGGTCACAACAATCAAAGATACTATAATTTTATGAATAAAAAAAAAATGACAAGCATAATAAAGCAATGGGTCTCACTCTCTTGTCAAAAACATGTGTGAAGGGTCAGAATGGTATACACCCCTTGAACTTTTGGAAAAGAGGCACAATCTAACTGTAATTAATAAAATGGTTGCAGTGCAGGATAAGCACTTCCAGTCATCTGAAGACAGCTGGTTGTGTTCTATATATGGAGGTCACATGTCTAAATGAAGGGAATTGAATCATAGGAATGAACTCATTTGATATTCTGGGTGGTAATAAAAAACCATAGCCAAACCTAAGCATGCCAGAGAGTACAAGAGTTTCAGTTTTATCTTCCTCTGCTCTGCTAAATTTGACATAACATGATCAACATATGTACCATATACTATTTTTTATTGACAGCATTTATAAATGCATAGTCAACTGTATTTCTAAGAAATACAACAAACCAAGTATGTATCCCTCATCTTTATTTTAATGATACAAGGTTTCATGTAATTAATTTGCCTATAAAGGTTTTTTTTAAGTAACAAATAATACAACTTTACATAGTGATGACAATTTACATATTCACTTACCTGTTACAACAATGATCAAGAGCATGTATCTTATATTTGAATATGCCATATGTTGCATGTAGCTCAAAATCTGTTTTAATTTTGTTAAAAGAAACAATGCATTGGGGCAATAATCTACAAATTTAAGCAGCGTTTATGTTGATGTTTATACTGTAATTTTTATAGAACATGGTTGCCATGATGATCATGGCCAATACACGATTTTCCTTGAAGACAAAATGATGTGGATCAGTCCCCAGAAGATATTGTCTCCTATACCAGCTTTTCATTTCCTTTTGTTTTGTAGAAGGCAAATTCCCATACTGTCTAAGAAAATACTGAACTATAGGTAGCCCTTGACTTACAACCTTTTGTTTAATGACAGTTCAAATTACAACAGCATTGAAAAATGCGACTTAGGATTGTTTATCACAGTTACAACCTTGGCAGCATCCCCATAATTGTGTGATCAAAATTCAGATGCTTGACAACTGGTTCATGTTCATGACTGTTGCTGTGTCCCAAGGTCATGTGATTATCTTTTGCAACCTTCTCGCAAGCAAAGTCGATGGGGAAGCTAGATTCACTTAACAACTGGGTTACTAGCTTATCAACTGCAGTGATTCACTTAACGATTGTGGCACAATAAGTTCTAAAATGGGGCAAAATTCACCAAACAAATGTCTCACTTAACAGCATAAATTTTGGGCTCAAATTGTTGTAAGTCGGGGACTACCTGTATGTCCTCCTAGTATATTTAAATTGTATAAATACCTATTGTAATTTCAGTTATGCTTTGAAGCATTCTGATATTTCTAGAAGCTGGCACTTTACTTTGTTACATAGCAGCTTCCTACTATTTTTTTTCATTTAAAAAGATCTGAAAAATATTAAGCCTGGGAGTCTTATAACTACCAAAGAAAATATCCATTTTCATTATGTTGCCAACTTCTGCATTATTGCTTTTATATTTAAAAAGTAGAGATAGAGAATGATGTTTATATTCAGCAGCAACTTGGGATTGTGAATGGTACAATTTATGAAAAAACCATTAATAGTGTAATTAATTAAATTAAATTAATTGAATAAAAATATTTTTTTACAAAAATTGGAAAAACGTACAAGTCCGTACGCAAATTGTGTGAGATTTCAAGAAAACCAAAACCTTGCAAGAAGATAAGGAGATTTTGGCATTCTTACCTAATGTCAAAGAACATCTTACATGATTTTGTAAGATCTAATGATCTCACAAACATTTTTCAAGTTTAATTTTAAATTTTATGATGGCCCTGCTATTGTGAAAGACCATGTAATGATAGCTTGCAAAATTCTGGAAGACCTTTGACTTTAGGTCCTTGAGTTATTCCTAGGGACTGATGTGTGGGAAATTTCAGGGTGTTCCCCTGAACAGTGTTTTCTTAGAGGATTTTTCACTGCTTTCTATTTTCTATGGAATTGATAAAAGGAGTGTCTTCTTTCTCCTTCCAGTCTCAGCTGATGAAGACTGCAAGTGGTATATAGACAGAAATGGCTCCTGGCACCGTGGCATCGACTGCAACTTCCCTTCTTTCTGCTGTGGTGACTGCTACCATCGCTTCTGCTGCTTTGATATCAGGAACCTTCTCACTGAACGGCAGCAAAAGCACTGCATGGCCTTTGGGTAAAAATATGTACTAGCCACAGAAGGTGGTTGAAAGCATCAAGATTGTGACTGAAGACTTAGAGTTACCTCTGAAGTGCCAAAAGGAACAAAGCAGAGGGATATAAGCAACCCCTCAGATATGTGTGTGTGTGTGTGTGTATGTATGTAGATTTTCAAGGGAACCCATATGTATGTGTGTGTGTGTTTGTGTGTGTGTGTAGATTTTCACGGGTACAGATATGCAGGCCTTGGTGTGTTCGGGTCTTTTCCCGTGTAAGATTGAGAGTATCTTGCCGACGTTTCGACGAGGTCCCACTTGCCATCTTCAGGCTGATGCTTTCGGCTTTGTGCTTTGTTTTTATGACTGAGACATAGCTAGGGGATCAGTCTGGTCAGAGCAGAATGGAATGGGGAACAGATGCTTCATCCTTTCTTAGGAGGGTGTCCAGTTTTCTGAAGTCACATTTCTTCCTACGTAATTGTAGTAATAGCAATAGCACTTAGATTTATATACTGCTTCACAGTGCTTTACAGCCCTCTAAGTGGTTTACAGAGTCAGCGTATTTCCCCCAACAACCTGGGTCCTCATTTTACCCACCTCAGAAGGATGGAAGGCTGAGTCAACCTTGAGCCTGGTGGGATTTGAACTGCCAAATTGCAGGCAGGCAGCAGAAGCAGCCTGCAGTACTGCACTCTAATCGCTGCACCACCGAGGCTCTTTAATTAAAATTAAAGTCATTCAAAATGCATGAAGCTAGGAAAGGTTGGGTTAAGTAATTTGATTATTGCTTTGATTTGAACTGCCAAATTGCAGGCAGCCGGCAGTCAAGAGAAGTACCCTGCAGTACTGTACTCTAAACCACTGCGCCACCGCAGTAATGGTAATTATGGTTGGGAAAAAAGGCCCTGGGGAAAGAGACAAGCTCTCTTTTCTTCCTTGTCCTGATCAAATCCAGCTTCCCTTGCAGTTAAATCTGTATAATGGAACCAGTACCCAAAACTTTCATGAGCCACATGTGATATTTGTGCCTTGATTATGAACTCTTGCCATAACCCATGGTTTATAAGCCATAAAGCTTGGTTCACATAACTTGCTAAGCCAGAACCCAATATACTCTTGCTATATAGCTTGGGAAATGAGACACTAGTTGCACACTTCATAAGAGTTGAAGGTGCAGAGGCTGAAATCTCTAATTCTCATTGTCAGAGAACAGCAAAAACTTCCAAAGGCAAGTAAGTAACCATTGGCTTCTGAGTATTAACTTTTTTTTTAAAAAAAAAGCAACATGAGACCAATAATTAAACTGTAGACAAATATATATAAAGGTTGTTGGGTGTTGTTAAGAGAACTTCTAATGGATAATTTTTGATACATAGATCTACTTGCCTAAATTTTCCAACCATTTTAGGAATGCGGAGTAGGAAGAGTTTCTAACACATACCTGGTATACCCTCACACATTTCCTTTAACTAGGTCTAAAGTAGAGCTGGAAAAATCTTTTTCAAGAATAAATGGTGGATAATGGATATCATTCCCAAATGAGACTAGGCCTTACAGAGCTCCATAATCCTGAAAAGATAAAAAAAAAAGTTTAAGTTTAATTAAAGTGTCCTGTTTCAAAAGCACTGGAGCAAGATTTTTGTTCTGCTCTCAAGTTTTCTACTTAGTTTGGCTAACTGTCTTGTTGATACTCTTTTGAATGAAGTTGTGATTTTTGTTTTCATTTTCAACCATGATGATAGCAAGAGTATTGAAAATATTGAAGTATTGAATTTAAATATAGTATTGAAAAGTTGTAATGATTTTATCTATTTCTGCAGTGGTTGCTGAAGCATAAAGTGGAGATTCTTACATTTCTAACTGTGGGATTTGAAACTATTTTTAATAGTTTTTAAAAAAATATTTAAAAAATAAGCCCATATGTTTGTATCTTAATTAAATCAACTCTTTGGTAGGAATGCACTAATGTATTTAGGAATTTATTTATTTAATTTATATTGCTGCCTATGGCGACTTGAGGCGGCTTATACAATGTAGAACCATATTTAAAACAAAAAATCAAAATCAAAAACTAACAAAAAGAATCAAATAAATTAATAAAGTACAATAGAACAAAATCTGGAAAAAAATGAAAAATAAAATGAAAAATCACCCCCCCAACTCCCACCCCCTGCCCCGATGACAGCAGAACACACTAGCCATTTGATGGGCTCCATCCTGCTCTGGGTTGCCCAGGCCCGCTGGCAAAACCAGATCTTCAGTGCCTTCCGAAAGAGTGCTAGAGTGGGGGCCATTCTAATCTCTGAGGGAATGATATTCCAGAGAGAGGGAGCCACCACAGAGAAGGCCCTTCTTCTGGGTCCCACAGGTGTATCACCCTCAGGGGTGGGACCCGCAACATTCCCTGCCTCCCCACTCTAATGGGTCGGATAGATGTGACCGGCAAGAGACATTCCCTCAGATAACCCGGGCCCAAGCCATGAAGGGCTTTAAAGGTTACAACCAGCACCTTGAATTGCACCTGAAAGCAAATCGGCAACAAATGCAGCTCCTGCAGGAGAGGTGACACATGTGCATACTGGGGTCTGCACAGAACCATGTGGGCCGCTGCATTTTGCACCAGCTGGAGCTTCTGGATGCTCTTTAAGGGCAGTGCCATGTAGAGCTTGTTGTAATAATCAAGACAGAAGTGACTAGGGCATGAGTGACTGTGAGCAGAGACCGCTGGTCCAGGAGAGGGCATAATTGGTGCACAACTTGCAGTTGTGCAAAGGCCCTCCTGGCCATGACCGCCACCTGCTTTTCAAGCAGGAGTTGTGAGTCCAGGAAAACCCTTAGATTATGCACAGGGTCTGTTTGGGATAGTGCTATCCCATCCAAGACCAAAGGTGGCAATTCTCCCTGAGCCAACAAACCCCAAACCCAGAGCCACTTGGTCTTCCAAGGGTTTAGTTTCAAACTGTTGCTCCCCATCCAGTCCCTAACAGCCTCCAGGCACTGCAAGAGAGAGGACACAGCAACACTTAACTCACCACAGGCTGAGACACAGCTGAGTATCACCAGCAAATTGGTGATACCTCAGTCCATGGTGACAGATGATCTCACTTAGTGGCTTCATATAAATGTTGAACAGGAGCGGAGAGAGTACCAAGCCCTGTGGAACCCCGTAAAGCAGTGGGCGAGGGCTGGATCTCTCCCCTCCTATCAACACTGACTGAGAACGGCCGCAGAGGAAGGAAGTGAACCAAGACAGCACAAGGCCTCCCACTCCCATCCCCTGAAGCTGCCCCAGGAGACTCCCATGGTCAATGGTATCAAATGCCGCCGAGAGGTCAAGTAGAACAAGGATGGATGCACTATCCCCATCCCGCTCCTGCCAGAGATCATCCAAAAGTGCGACCAATGCCATTTCTGTCCCAAACCCAGGCCTGAATCCTGACTGGTAGGGGTCGAGATAATCTGTTTCATCCAGAAACCCCTGGAGCTGCTGTGCAACCACCTTCTCAACAACCTTCCCCCAAAAGGGAAGATTGGAAACAGGCTGGAAATTATCCAACTAGGTGGAGTCCGGTGATGGTTTCTTAAGAAGAGGGCAGACCACAGCCTCCTTAAAGTGCTGGGGCACTGTCGCCTCCTGTAGAGAAGCATTAATCACCTCCAAAGTCCACCCGCCTGCCACTTCCTGGGAAGCTTTCACAAGCCAGGAGGGACATGGGTCTAAAACACAGGTGCTTGCACGCATACTTCCTAGGATCCTGTTCACTTCCTCAGGAGCAACAGGGTCAAACCATTCCCAGATAACAGGACAAGAACCTGCCTCCGGAGCTTCCATCAGACCAGCAATCATACTGGCATCTAACTGGGAATGAAGTCCTTCATTTCATTTTTGTCCTTCAGAAAATCCACAAATTCCTCACCGCGCCCCTTCAGGTAGACCTCAATCTCCTCCTTCCCTAGGAGGAGACAGCTCACCTTTAAGAGGGTCACTGGGCGATTATCTGCAGATGCAATTAGTGTGGAGAAGTATTTACACTTCGCCACATGAATCGCCACAAGGTAGGCCTTAGTAGCAGCTCTTACCCGTGTTCGATCGAGTTCATCTCCTGTCTTCCACCAGCGGCGCTCTAGACATCTCATGTGTTTCATCCTCTAAGTTCTTCTGTATACCACGGGGCACAGAGAGATCTATGGGTGAGGAGAGGTCGCAAGGCTACAATCCTATCCAGAGCCTCAGTCACCTTCCTATTCCAAACAGTGACTAAGAGTTTAGCTGGACTGCATAATGGATCTGCAGTTATAACCCCCTTCTGGAATCCAATCTGGGTCCATTAGTCGATGGGGGCAGATCATTAGTCGATGGGGGCAGATCAATCTAATAGGTCCTGCCTCCCTGCGAGTGTGTGTGTGAAGCTTTTGAGAAACTCATTGCCACCAGACTGTGATCTGACCATGATAAGGGGATCAAGGACAGGTTCACCAATTTCAGGTCACATAGACACTGCTCTGACAAGAACACCAAATCGGGAGTGTGACCACTATTACTGGTCGGGCTCTGGATAATCTGGGACAGGCCCATGGAAGTCATGGTTTCCATGAAATTCCTCTCAGTGAATTTTGAAGGGGGGTATTGTTTGAGGAATTCATGGTCAAATAAATACTACCAACCAGAAATCTCCTTCTCTTTCCTCTTCTTCCATCCCTATAGGCCCAAGCAGGCCACAGAAGGACTGGGGAAACTCTGCATTTTTTAAAGCAGCTTTGCTAAAATCCATCTTCGTTTTAAAAGTCCATGATCACAGCAATGTGAGAATCTGCCCTGACAATGGTTCTTTTGTGCATCATTTCCTGGACTGTCTATTTGACAGTGTTCACGACACCCTGATCCATCCAAGGTCTCAAGAAACAAAGAAGCCTTCTTCAAATAATATCTGGGCGCTATTGCTACTACATACTTCTTTTAAAATATTACATAAATCAGGAAGAGATTCCTTGGTCACCTGCTATATTTTTAAAAGTCCTTTGCCATATTTGACAGATTTTTTCTTTGTTTTTTAACTGGGCCCAAAGATACCTTGTGAAGGTGGGCAGTACAAGTGACTGGCTTTTTGAGAATTCATCCATCCCTGTCTTGTAGAGCACTCATTAGTATCTGTTTCAATAGCAGATTCTGTAGCATGAACATAATTTATCTTTGTCTGTGCTCTGCAGCCCGAGGACCATTGCTGGCATCGCTTCAGCTGTGATTCTCTTTGTGGCCATTGTTGCCACCATTGTCTGCTGCTTCCTGTGCTCCTGCTGCTACTTGTACCAGCGACGGCATCACATGCAGACTCCTTATCAAGGTAGAAAATGCCCTTCTGTTGTGGCCTACTGGGAGAGATGGGGGGGAAACTGGGAATGCTGGAGGGAGTCAGTTGACTGATAATGTCATAAATAGCAATTCAACAAGGTGGGAAGGGAAGACATATGTTTTAATTCCCGCTACAAAGGAAACTGGGAATTTCCTATTACAATTGCAGAGCTCCGTATTTTACTTCAAAGTAGCATTATCTTATTGAAATCTATGTCATTCTTGCTTTCGTGATTTTGCCAGCTACATTGGGCTTTCTACCAAAATCTTCTTTCTCATAGATATAAGACCATATTTGCAATTAGTCTTATGCTGCTTAGAGGAGCATTCTGATGGGAGAATCTTTTCCAGAGTCAGGCTGCCAGAGAAATGGATTGCAGCTGCAATCCAACACATCTCTACTACAAACTAGCAAATTGGGAGAAGATGGCCTTATAACATGCAGAATTATCAATAATGTTTGTGGAGATCTAGATTCAAAGGAGGAAAGGTGATGCACACCAGAGAACAGATTATACCTACTGCATCTCCTGAAATCAAACATGTCTTTTCCTGGAATTGTGTTATAATGCTGGGACAAGATGTGGCTTCCAACAGATATGATGCCTGTGTACATGCATGCTCCAAGCTGCCTCTTCTCCTTCAAATCCAGATTGCTCCACAGATTTACTATCAACGCAGACCATGCACTTAATAAAAGTTTGTCAAATCCAGGTCAAGAGATTCCACTTTCTGGTTATCCTGATCAGCCACCAGACCCTTATCCTATGGATCCAAAAGCAGGGCCAGCATTTCATCCTGGATATGCCCCTGTGTTTCCCTACCCACCTACAGTTCCAGCACAGTATCCTCTATATCCACCTGGGCCACCATACTACAATCCTTCAGGTAAGAAAAGAGTATAAATGATAAGCTGGACTTACTTCCTATCCAGGTACGGTGCAGACATATTCAGTATGAACTCTCAAAATGTCATTCAAGCATGGGCAAAGAATTATAAGAGCTGCAATTCTCTAGAGACCTTGTTAAGAAAATGTCACACACAAATGATCCACAATATTCATTAAGTCATAGGCACGGAACAAATCTTGGTAAGTGTAGATAGAAGAAATTCTATTAATGCTTCTGATTAGACAAGGGTAAGCCTTAATTGAGTTTCGTGTGAGAGATTTAATCTCTTCATCATCTCTTAATTGGTAAGATAAAGATTGATTAAAACTGAGGATGTATTGAAATAACATGGAACAGCAGGAAAGGAAAATTAAGGTTATAGGAACAAGAACAAAGAAAAACATGGAGGTAGGTTTGTCCTATAAAACCCAAATGGCCATGAGTAAAGCAAGGCAAAATAAAAGGCTTATCCCCCTAAATACTACAGTAACATGAAATGTAGCAATGTAACAGAATAAAATATATAGAAACATGACATTTCTGTAGCACTTCTATATCACGGCTGCAAAGGTGAGGACCACTAGATGACAACAAAGAATTCCCTTACTATCACCTAGTAGCGATCTGGAGTTTTACAGGTCCGAGTATGGTAATTTAGTAATCCTCATATATGTGGCAACCATCTAACCTTGAATTAGACTTTGGCGTTTCTGTAAAAATGTGCTTCAAGTTCAACTTAGTGTATGACGATTTATTGACGTAAGCCTTCCTACTATGGTAGTTTCCTATCCAAGTACTAAAGTCTAACTTTGCTTTATATTTGCAAGACCAGCAAAGATTGGCAAAGTTCTGCTAAGCTTATACTAATGGTCAGTTTCTTCTTCTGCAGCTCCTCCACCATACATCCCACCGCAACCAACACAGCCCAGCACTTGAGAAGAATCTTGGAGGACTAATCAAAAGAAGCCTTTCTCTATGGGCCTGCTAACTCCCTTTTTACAGAACTTGTAGGGGGACTCCAACTGTGCTGAAACCCTAGCCTGTGTCAGTATTTGCCAGTGTTTTTAAAAAAATTAGTTTTCTGCATGGTAGGAAGCATTGTGACTTTTAATTCTTTTCTCCACTCAATCCAGATACTGAGAGAATCACCTTGCCCTCCTCACTTACTATATGGTTCAAGAAGTAGCTGATGATTACAAATGCAAGTGCCCAAAGCTTGTGCAAGCACCATACGTGTAATTTGGCAGATTTTTCCTCTCTGAAACCAAACTTTTCAGAGGGAGTGGGTAGGCAGATTGCCTCCAGGGGGTTGCAAAGATCTAAGTGAAACTCTCTTTCCCTAAACTGCCAGGAGGATCAATTTTAGTTCCATTCTTCATAACTTCCAGGTGATTTCCAGGTGTCTTAAGGAAGCCCTGAGGCCTAAGATGGATATACATATAGAAAGTCTGAAGATATTTGGTGCTGCTAAAGATCCTTACTGCTTGAAATCCCATAAAGGTTCCCAAATAAAGCTGTACATGCAATTAATACATAGGAAAAGCAGATGAGCCCAGAAAGACTCCTTTAAAGATGAGATGAGGAATAGACAAGAGAAGGCACACTGACTTTCATGCTCCTTAGCACAGAATGATAAGAAGTCCAATATCTGAAGATATAGAGATCAAACTCTGGGCATTTCATATACAACTGAAAATACAGATTTTCTATGTTTTCCCAGGAAAAAAATAGGTGACAAAAGCAATTCTTTTCAATTGAGCATAATTTGGATTTTCAGAGGGATTTTTAAAATGATTTCTCTACTGGATTGAAATTTCTCTTGTGCATTCCACACCAATCTAATGAGAGTTAACTTTTCACCATGATATTATAAATTTCAGTATAAACTGCCCTCAGTATTTGAAAAGGTAAAGTAAGCATTTAAATCAGATTGTGAATTCTTTACTAATGGCAGAGGTATCTTGTTGAGTTCACATGTTAACTTCATTAACATGAAGTGCAAATGTGAAAACAGGACAATATCATTTAGGATGCTTGCTGTTTTTGGTTATAGTCACTGCCCAAAGTAACTATAAGAATTTCTTTCAAATCTTATGTGTTTTCTCCCATGGTGAGACCCCTTTCATGTACATAAATCCATGTTCTTTCATAATATTCTAACTCAGTCGATTCTTTTCACTAAAAAAGATTAGTTAAGATTAGCTAGCCTCTTTACTTATCCTGAATCCAAATCTCAGATTTGCCTCCAATCAATTAATTGTACTCCTGAGGCATGGGAATGCCTATTAAGAAATGGGTGCCTATTATTTATGCAGTGTAGCCTATTTCTCCCGAAAGTCCTTGGTGTTTATTGTGGCTCTATCTGCATTTTATTATGTGCAAAATCTAATATTCTGCCACTGGAATATTGCAAAGAACACTGGAGTTCTCTGTTTTCTTCCTGACTATGTCAGTCTGGCCATTCTAGGGCAGTCTCATAGATTTCCAGAACAGAAAGTCATTTATGGTGTAGTTTTAAGAAGCTGCTGCAGAATAGTACGTTTTGCACATTCCTGCTGCATTCTTGCTGCATGACCCAATTCATCAATCTGCCACTACATCTCATCGTTCTTTCCAAACATCAGCAAGATTTAGTGTGATAAGTTTGGACAGTCCCACCTATTCCTCCCCACCTGCTGAAGGGATATTAACTTCGTACTTGCCAGTATTGCAAAGGCTGTATTATTTGGAGCACAGAGAAGGCTGGAGAAGCAAGACAAATGCATGATGCTTCAACCAGAGTATAAAGACAATTCCTGTGCAAGAAAAGGCCACCATGTGCTATGATGCCCACTAACTTCATGGCTTCCAGTAACTGGGAAAACATGTTAGCCAAGTTGAAGAAGCCATGCATTGGCCATATGCCTTTGATGTTGCACAGAGCTCTGCAAAAGCAAAGGGTTTAGCAATGCTGAAGCAACACATCTTCTCCTTGCATTTTACCATTTCTAATTCCTGCAAGAAATTTTTGGAGGAAGGAGTTAATCGAGTCAGCCCTTTTGCTCAAACCACATTCCCACTGTGTGGGAATGGCCTGCTGAATTGCGGCAGCAGTTGCACCGCTGTCTTTTTTTTCTAACCAGAATGGCAAACGTTTGCTCTGCAAAATGTTCGTTACAATGTGAATTAAAGCTGTAAATACTGATTAAGTTACTGATATGTGTGTTTGTGTGTATTTCTTCTATTTCGGCTGTATAGTTAGTGGATAGGTAGTCCTAGAATAATTCCTTAACAAGAGAAATAAACTTGCCTTTGCCAAATAAATAAATAAAATAAATAAATAAATAAAGGAAAATGTTAATATTTGACACAGAGAAAAGAAAACAAGTTTTTTCATTGCTTCCAATGCATTGAGGAGGGTGTCCAGAGAGGGGAACGAAGAGCCATAATGTTTCAAATCAGTAGTCAGTATGTTTTGCTGATTTTTAAATTTAAAATTTCTCCTTAGTTAATTTATATGCCAGATCATCCTATCTAGTATATCTCAAATACTGAATAATAGTCTGGTTGCCTTAGAAACGTGAGTTTCCCTTTGGATCAAGACCTTTGGTGTTCAGAAAACATTTCGGCCCAATCCAAGGTTTGAACAGTTGTTCACTTGCAGAATTTCCAAATATGATTTTTCTCTTTCACGTTGGAACAGCCTTCCTAATCCTGGCTCCCTCCAAATACTTCAATTCCCATGATCTGTAGCTGACACTGCAACCGGCCAGAGATGATGGGCTTTGAAGATAACTAGACTGGTGTTTCTAGAACAAAGCCATCTTTCTTGATGTAGCCTGTAGAATGACCATTGCATGGGAGGCAGGAAAGTTTGTCACTCTGAGATAGATGTATATCAACCTGCCCCAACTTCTAATGGCGCCTCACAGTCACGTGTTCAGGGGATGCGCACCACAGAAGTGCCCTTCGGCTGCCCTCGGGAAGAGTGGAGTGAACGGGGAGGGCCTCGGGCCAGCCAGAGGCTCTTGTCCACGCCGCTGTCTTGTTGGTTGCCTCCAAATCCGCCACCAGATGTTGTGCTCCATGGTGTTCCTGCTGGCGACCCGGCGCCAAAGAGCAGCTGTTCGTCCTGGAGCAGAGCATGGCGCTCCGGACCTCCTGCTGGATGAAGTCCGACTCGCGCTTCCGACTCCGCACCGTCCCCTCAGGGCGCCTCTGTCTCCAGCCGCTTGGCTCTTGCCAGCCTCCTCGCTCTCTTCTTTGGGCCCCGAACTCCAGCCAGCCGAAAGCGTTGGGGGCGTCGTGAGACGCTGCCGGGCCCACCCCGCTGTTTCGGCCGCCGCTCTTTCGCCTTCTGGCGGAGGCGATCTTCGGGGAAGCAGAGGCGACTTACTGTAACAGCTCCGTAAACAACGCGTGCTTAGGAGCGGTGTGGATGCTCACGAATGTAATGCAGTTTTTCACGGTAACGTTAGAGGCAGGGCCTGCTGTTGCATTCTTCGAAGACGTTTTGCAGCCTTCCGCTCCAGTCTGCAAGTGGATTTAGGATTTCTTGGCGGTTTCCTATCCAAATACTAACAAGGCATAATTTAGTTTAAAATTCTGAATCGGACAAAATTGGACTACTGCCCTCATCTTAGCTTTAGCTGAATTTAATGGGCAGTTTTCATACTCAATCTAAGTCGCCTCTTCCGTTTTATTGGGGAAGAGTTATGATTTTCGTGGCGGAGGCAAAGAGTACTTAGTTAAAAATTGCAGTAATGCCATCCCCTTGAGTGACATGTTCTGATTCTTATAGTTTTAGATACTGAGCCATATTTTGGATGGAGCCCTCTCTATGTGTGGGATGTTGAGACTGCAGCAGTTTATAAATGAGATACATACATTTGCAATCTGCTTCCTTTCTGCCCACCAGAATGCAACCAGAGCAGAGCACCTGACCTTGCCATTTTCCAATAGCTTGGAGGTGCCCTCCTGACTATTGAGCAAAACACCTCTTACTACCATCAGGTGCCACTACCATCAACTCATCTGATCTAGTTTGGGAATTTTGTTATTCTTGACGAGATGGAGCAGGTAGCAGTGGAATCCAGTTATGTCCTGGGAAAAAACAGATATAGTTTACACTACCACTTCAAAAAAAAATTTAAAGCGGCTTTTAAAATGTAGGTATTATTAAAAAAATTATTCAGATCCAGAAAATGGCACATAAAAGAATCAATCATTCCCCCCTCAGCTCTACTCCACAATGTAGAAAAGTTCTACATTATTCTTTTTCTTCCAAAAAATGTTCAGTGGGACTTGTTTCCAGGTGTGTGTATAGCATTGCTTTCTTGAAACTACGTTAATTCCAAAGACAGGTCTAAGAGTATCCTAAAGAAATTACAGACCTTAATAACGGCTGGCCTATTAAAATACCTTAAAACCATTAAATGAATTAATCATCTCTGCATAATCATGGGTCTGTGTGTTCTTTCTGAAGACATATGTTACTGCAATTAAATTTATTGTAATAATGTCTGCACAAATGAATTGTATCATATGATTGCTATGCTTAGCAGATTTCATGAGGCTCTGTGGCCAGAATCTTTCCTTGCTACAAAATGTATTTGTATTGGTTATGTGCCATCAGATACTTTTCAACTGTTAGGATAACTTAAGAGTTTCTCAATGACAATCTATCCCCAACTCGGTCCTTTAGGTCTCCCAATGGTACATATTGCTACAGTTCTATCTGCTTTGCTGCTGATCATCCATTCTACCTTCCTTTCCCAGTATTGGAGCCAGAGTATTTGTCTTTGCATAATATGTCCAAAGTAGAATAATTTGAGCCTGGTCATTTGTTCCTCCAATGAGTTGCTTTGGGTTGCTTTTTTTGATGGCCCATTAATTTGTTTTCTTGGCTACTCATGGTATCTCAGGATTCAGGAATCTTCTCCAACATCAAGTGCTACAAAATATGGGATCATATGCACAGTGTCAGAGTACTTTCCCCACTGTCTTTATATTCTTTTTCTTCCAAAGTGTCTTTGGAGGAAAAGATGGAATACTTGCAAAAGTATTGCAGGTAGTAGCACTAGGAACTATTCACTTGAAAGCAACATTTGTCTCTTGATAATATGAGGTAAAAATCTTGCCACATGAGGGCATTCTTAAACCAATGTCCCAAACTCTTTTTCATTCACTTCAGTGCTGATTTGAAAAACCAGCTAACAGAGAGCCGAGAGCTCTTCCGGTTTAAGGCATTAGCAATTTCAGTATTCTGTCTTCATGGCCCACTTAAAATCCATTGCTTCACTCTTTCCACATAGGTTTTTCTGATCATGATTGCAAGACCCAGTGCTTTAACTTTCCCATTCTGTTTCTAATGCTTAGAACATAAACAAAGTGCCCCAAAACTTTGCCTATCATCCAATTTCTGCTCTCGTCTCAATTAAGAACGCCTGTTTGGAATGAAGGCCTGGCATGGGCTTTGTGCCAATTTGGCATTTCT